AAATCGCAGCTCTGTGATGATCTTTGGTAAGCTTGCGGTTATACCTCGGCCTGCTAACCTCGATTCGGCTGCTGTGATCTGGTCTGTCGTGGACTGCCCACGCCATTCCCAGCACAGTAGGGAAATCATCACTAACCTCCATCAGATCATCGAGATCACCCCACACTTCCTCGAAAACGATGGCAGGCACAAAGTGAGGTTTGACGAGGACATTGTCAATCCTGTGATAGGCGGCATTCTTCACAAAGGTGAAACCGCTGGGCTCAGTGTCCCTGCTCCAGTTGGGGTCAGAGAAAGTGGAGGGGGCGACGAGCCCAAGTTCGCACATGAACTGGTGAAAGCAAGTGCCCGATACATTCTCTTCCTCCATCCATCCTCCATTCCCCACAGCAGTGGACGACATGCTACCAAGCCTCGCATTAGCGTCGACCGACACGACGTCGACTGACATCCGTTGGGCAATCGCGGTAGTCTCCTCCCACCACCTCTGAAGAGCGCCAGTGTCGATGGTCCTGCTCTGCGCGTCCTGACAGGGAGCGTGCAGGACCATGAAATTGAAATGAAGTCCTGGCGCGCGGACTTGCACTACGATCCTGCGGATATCCTTATGCGTGACAAGAAAGTGGCTATTATGGAAGTACTTTGGGTGGCATCGGTGAGTCAAATACGGGAGGGTCAACGAAAAGCAGGCCTCAACCGCAAAGTTTTTCCCGTCACCTCCAGAGGCGAGGATGTAGTAACCGTCGGCGGTCTTGCTCCCTTCTGGGGTCCGAGCTTCTTGGGTTCCAAGGACCTGAATGCCCTGATCGTGAAACTTCTTTCTAACCAATTTGACATTGTGTCGGCGATGCTGTCTCTTAGCATCCTCGAGCATGGACATCGCATTGAATGTCGCGACATTGAGGGTGAGATCACCAGCCATTTCCTTGGGGGGGTCAGGCCCGCCTTCAAACCCAAGAGGCAAATAGTGATGTGGGTATCCCGTCGCGTATGTGCGCACGGGGGTGTTGAAACAGAACTGTCCATCATGTTCGGTGATCTCAGGATACGCGCTGCGATCGGCTTCCAGCTCGGTAACCCACGACCAGGGATCTCCCACCGCAGGGGTCAAGAGCTTCGCCCAGTCGGGGTCACGAACTTCGGAGTCCCTTCGCCTACGTTTAGAGAGACCATCAACTAACTCGTTCCAGGGATGGGCCTTGTGGGACGAGACATGGCGAAACGTGAGGTCATACCTCGCACGCAAGTCAACGACCAAGTGGCGCAACATGGCGCCGAACTCGGGGTGGGCAGAGGACTGAGCAGATCCTTCGGCAAACTGAATCGCAGAAGCGGAGTCAGACTCGATGACAAAACCATCAGCCTCGTGCTGTCCGAGAAGCCCGATCCAAAGCAAAACCCAAAGGATTCCCCCCATCTCAGGGGTCGTGCTGCTGAAACGAGTGGTATCTAAGGAAAATCCGACGGAAGAGAGACCTTTCTTGTCCTAGCCCCCAGAAAGGAAAAGGCTCCTGCTCTGTCCTTGGCCACCACGGCCATCGCCCAGGCCGCAGTGGTGGGGTCCTGTTCGTCGAAGGACCCGTCGACGAAGATTGAAATCTGGCCGGCGACGTGCTCGCTAGTCGGGCACATGTCCAGGCCAAGCTGCGCGTGGGCGTGCAGGCTCTCTCTGTTGACATCTAAATCAAGGTCTATCTGGCACCCTTCCTGTTGAAGGCGTGTGAGCAGTCCTATATGTCCCAATTTACATCTGATCGAGTCGGTAGGATCATCGCCCACGATCGCGACCTCGATCGGAATCCGACTGTCGAGGTCCAGGACCTGCGGGCCAGTGTGGACTCCAGCCCCCGAACGCCCCAGAGTGCCTGGGGTCAGCACCTCCGAACTGCCCAACCCAACATCGGGAGGAGAGGAGGAGTCGGGGGAGGGATCGTAGAAGTGAAAAGGCACAGTCGTGGCGAAAGCCACCTTGGACCTGGGCCAATCGAATTCGGCGCGGCAGCGCTGGGGTGGCGGTGTTTGCTCGCTAGAGTCTACATGCATGCTGCTGGGTGTCGGGCTCTCCCCATCCGACACCCTCTCATGGCCGTGTAGGCTCAGTACTCGCTCTCCGCGTAGGGATCCATCTGGGCGGCATCGCTGCTCGGCACTCTGTGATCCTCTGCTGTCTTGGCGACCGTTTCGATGTCAGATCGTCTCTGAGGCTTGCGGAAAGCTGCCATGGCCGTCCTCGACTTGCCCTTGTCGTTGGCAGGCCGCCTGGAGGATCCTGGCGCTCTCGTTCTCTGGGTGCGGATGCTTGGACTCCTCGAAGCTGAAGTCCTTTGACTGCTGCGCTGCCGTGGCCCTAAGGAGAACTGTCCGCCCTCCGAGCCGCTCTCGAAGGCCGCGGCCCTCTCCTTCACCGTGATCCATCCCGCGGACGTGTCCTGAGCCGTGGTCTCCATCAGCGGGATCGGGGTACAAGGCTGTGTCGGCGTCAATGATGGTGGTGATCTGGGAGCCGCGGTCGGTGGAGTAGGAGGCTGTGGCGTCGATGGCGCTGGGTGATGTCCAGTAGCCGTCGCCCCTGTCGCTGATGACCGTATCGCGTCTCGCATCATCATGGCCTCCATCATCTGCTGCATCTGCATCATCTGGTCCGCCATGGGCTTCAGCTGCGCTTCGACCTGCAGCTGGACTGCCTGCTGAATGCTGGCGCTGGACTGTGCCGTGCCTGCAGTGGACGCAACCGGTGTCGATGCTGGTGTGGAGGCCGCGCCTGGAGGGGATTCCTCTGTCGGGCGCTCGGGGAAGACCACTACGCCCTGGCACGGCTTGTCCTCGTCCATGTCCGTGCTGCTCTCCATCTCCTTCTGCTGCTTCTCCGCCTCCATGAGCTGGTGTATCTCCATCTTGGTGCGCTTCAGCGCGTCCAGCTGGTCCTGGAGGTTGTCTCTGACGTTGATCTTCGCCTGGAGGTGGTCCTTGAGCGATGCGACTTCTTTGTTGGCTGCTTCCACGCGCAGCATCATCCTGGCAATGGTAGTCTCTGTCCAGGCGCTCTGCTGATGTAAACTCTTCTCCGATATCAACATTCGTCTCAATATGGAAATAGATGTGGCCAGCTCCTGCACTGGCTCTCTCATGGCCCAGGCTAAGTTGTACCTCTGCTGGAGCAGGTTCAGCCTGGAGCGAATCTCTCTGTAGTACCCTTTCTTCTCCGACTCCGTGGCACGCGAACTCAAAGGACGATAGTCTGGATGAGCCTGTGCTTCTGCTGGAGTCGCCATTCGTACGTATGGGGCATCATTGGGCTTCGTCTCGTCTTCCCATGGGCGTGACTCCGATGTCGATCTCTGGCTCTTCTGGCTCTTGGATCTCTGGCGGCCCTTGTGGTTGTTGGTGCCGTTCTCTTTCTTGGAAGACTTCCAATGACCGTTGCACTTGACGCAGTTCACCGAGGTATTCCAGTTCTGCTGCCCGCATCTGCATTGCCATGCGCACGTCCATGGCGCCATCAACGGAACCTGCTGACTGGGGCTCCGCAGCGGGAGCAGAAAAAAAGGAATGCGGTGACCCAGGCCGCCCTGCCCGCGCCGTGGCACTCGGTGTGTGTGTGTGTGTGTGGCTCAAGCACTTATCTGCGGTCGCGCGCCACCGCACCGGGCGATCCGACATGGCCTGTCTGGCGCTGCGCCTCGCGCCTGCAGCCACCCACTGTCCCCCTCCTCCTCCTCCTCGAGCTCCTCCTCCTCTTCCTCCTCCCTCCTCCCTCCTCCTCCTCCTCCCTCCTCCTCCTCCTCCTCCTCCCTCCTCCTCCTCCTCCTCCTCCTCCTCCTCCTCCTCCTCCTCCTCCTCCTCCTCCTCCTCCTCCCTCCTCCACATCCCACAGCCTGTCCAAGCTGCGATAAAGCGCAGAGTGTCTGGCACCGGCACCAACGCCCCATCCCATGACCGCCCGCGGTTCCACCTCCCAGTTCCCAGAGCGGCCCGCGTGGTGCACGTCACGCTGGACGCCAGGCTGGCCACGAGTCGACAATGGTCACTGCGCGTGGCCACCCCATGAAGTCCGATGACTACATCAGACGCAGTCGCAGGGGACGCTGACACTATACTGGTGATAGGCTCAGACGCGTGTCTAGGGGGTCAATCGTATTTCTGATAGAAGCCTAGCCGCCTCCACGTCCGTGAATCACTGCAGCACCTCTCGATCAAGCCGCTGCAAGCCAGAACGCCCTCTGGATAGCACCTCCGTAATCTGGCGGTTGACCATACATCCTCTCCCCAGATCAGCTCCCACCACGAGACCAGCATCAGTCGTCGGTGCCGCCACTTACAGAGCTCGGATACAGTCAACCCGCATAGTAAGGATGGGCAACCTTCCCAAGAGCCTCCTCGGTCCATGCTTGGTCACTTTGGTTGGCCGCATACCGCTCGAAGAGCTTCGAACTGGGCGTCCAAGGCCCTTGCACCCTTATCGCGCATCATTGCTATGCGGGTTGACTGTACCCCCACCCCGTCCAGGACTTCAATGGGGGACTTCGAGCCTGCAAAACAGTGCTCGGCAGCGCCCTGCGCTCCCCCCCCAACAAGGATGCCGCGCACGGGAGGGCCAGGACGCCCCTGGCGAGAGGCGGAGTTCGGACGGCACCGCCACGACGACCCCGCGCACGTGCAGAGCCACCGCGAGCTGCGGAATGTGTGCCGCATGTGCGCGGCGCCAGCTCCAGCTGCCGTGCCCTCGCAGGCCCTGCGCGTGATATCTCACGACCAGAAGTCGGCGGGGGCCAGGCGGCAGAAGGGTTCCTGGGGGGGGGGGGTCCACGCTCAGAGGGGCGTGGGGCAGGAGGAGGGGCGGGGGGCAGTGTGGGGAAAGGGGAAGCGGGGAGGAGGGGAGGCGAGGGGAGGCGAGGGGGAGTGAGGACGAGAGCTCACGGGGAGGAGGGACAAAGGGGGGGCAGGGGAGGGAGGGGGGCGGCAGGGGAGGGCGGGGGCCGAAACGCGGCGGGCGGGCCGAGGCGCGCGGCTGGGTGCCCCTGGAGCCCGCCGAGGGCGAGGAGGGGCCCGCGGGCGCGGTGCTGCTGGAGCTGGAGCTCAAGCACTTCCACGAGCGCAGGCCCCGCCAGCCTCGCTCGGGGGGGCCGGCTTCGTCGGGTCTCCGGGGCCCTGCCTGCGCGCGCACAGCGAGCAGAGGGGCACAGCTCCCTGCGACGGGATATATCGGGCGACGACATCTATACATATCCACTGCTCCCTGGCCAGGCCCATCCTGAACCCAGGAGTTGTGCATACGCCCTCCTGGCCACGCCAGGAGGGCGCAGCGTATACACAGCTGCTGGGTTCAGGATGGGCCTCGCCAGGGAGCAGTGGATGTGTATAGATGTCGTCGCCCTAGGGGTAATCCAGTGTATGCCAATATAGCCGCACGTGTCGTTCACAGACAGTTGCAGCTAGATGTTGTTTTCCCCTATGTCGATGGATGAAGAAACAGACGATGGCCCCAGGAAGGTGGGCGAGGGGTCCTGGGATGTCTGGGTGTCCTGGTCGAGGGGCGTCGCAGACGATGGCCCCAGGAAGGTGGGCGAGGGGTCCTGGGATGTCTGGGTGTCCTGGTCGAGGGGCGTCGAGCGAGTCGAAGCGCCGGATGTCTGGATCTCTTCACGATCACTCCCAGGAGGACGGTGAGTTTCGAGGGTCGAGGTTTGAGGGTGGGGTCTCGAGTACATCTTTGACGCTTGTCCGCCTCTGGAAGCCTCCAGGGGACCTCCGGGGAGACCTCAGAGCCCCTTCCTTCCCCAGCCTCTCCTGCCCTGTCCCTTCCCCCCTCCTTCGCGCTTTCCCCCGTCCCCCCCCCCCGCCTCGCCGCCCCCCGCCATTCCGCCACCCCCACCTCCCGCTTTCCCGCCTCCCGCTCCGAGGCCCCACTCGCCCCACGCACTCCCCCCCACGACTCCCAGGTGGCCCTGCCCCTGCTGACACCTCACCTCGGGGCCCTCTTGGGCCGTCTTGGAGGCTCTGTGGGCCCTCTTGGGAAGCCTCTTGGGGGCCTCTTCGGGCGTCGCGAGGCCCTCTTGTGCCGTCTTGAAGGCCCTCGGCCGTCTTGGAGCTTTCCTCGGGGCCACTTGGGAGCCTCTTTGGGCCCTCTTGGGGCTCTCTTGGGCCGTCTTGGTCCTCAGGGGTCTGCCCCAAGGATCTCTGGAGGCCTCCGGGGCCGGGGTGTCCCCCCAATGAGGCCCCGCTGGATCCCCCTCGGCAGTGGAGGGAGGATGCGGGGAGGAGGAGGGCGGATGGTGGGTTGGAGGGGGAGGAGGAGGAGCAGGAGGAGGACCAGAGTGCAGGAGGTTTATGCGGCGATGGCGCGTCGGAGACGCCGGCGAAGGCGTCCAAACTTGAATCCCGCGCGAAAGAGCGACGCGGAAGCACCGAGGGACACCGTAATGCCGTTGCACCCGACAGAATTTAGCCTTGAACGATCGGCTCCGCGATCGGTTCACGGATGAACGATCGACGCGGGGTCAAAAACTTTTGCGCCCGCCGACGCCGCACGAACCTACCGTAAATTTATCTGCAGACTCGATGTTGCAATACACCCTCCCGTCGCAGGCTCCCGCCTCGAAGCGCCCCCATTGAAACACCAGCAGAGCTGGGCCGACCATCTTGACGAGGACCCCGCTTTGAAACATAATTGTCTTGCATCTAGTTGACGCGTAATCAGGACCGCGAGAATGCTCATACAGTTCAGCGAGGTGTCTTACGAGATCTCCTGTGCGAGGAAGGACCGCCCCCGCCCGTGTTGTTTTTACAGCAGTTTAAGTGTGTGTGTGTGCCCATGTACGTCGAGAAAAGCTTTAGTGACAGCTCTATTAAAACAAGAAGGGCCGCCACGGAACTGCACAGCCCCATGTGCATTCAGAGCTCGGGTCTCCAGACTGAGCGGGGTCTTCGACGGTACATGAGTTTTGAAGGTGGCAGCTCTCCATACTGCTGAGCGTGTGCTGTCAGAACATGAGATGAGGGCGCGCGCCGCCGTGGCTCTGGGGGACGAGGCCGCCGTCCGCAACTCCTGCTCCTCCTCCTGCTCCTCCTCCTCCTCCTGCTCCTCTTCCTCCCTCTCCTCCTCCATCCTCCTCCTCCTCCTCCTCCTCCTCCTCCTCCTCCTCCTCCTCCTCCTCCTCCTCCCTGGTCCTTCTTGAAAACGACCAGTGCGCAATCCTGAAGCTCTGCGCTGCCTCGGTGCGCACGTCCGGGGGGCGCGGCACGTGCCGGGCGCAGCACGTCCGCGCCCGCGCGCCGCGTGCTGGCTCCGCGTACCGGCCAGCGCCTCGGCGAGCGCATCGCCTCACGCCCACGTGTTCAGTCTGCGTTGTGAGCTCCCGAAGACGTCGTAATTCTTCGGCGGTCGTCTGGATAGGGCAGGTTGTGTGTTGCACGACCTACTCTCGGATTTCGCAGAGCCTCACAGCGAAAAAGAAGCAGTCTGCGTTTTGAGCTCCGTGGCAGCATGCCACGTGTTGCGGGCTGCGAGTCGGGGCAGCTCAGCTGAAGCTGCTGCAAGACTCTGACGCGAGCGCGCGCGCACAGCGCGGAGGCGGAGAGGTCCCAGTTTGAACAAAAACAGAAGCCGCCCTCCACACCGCGGTCGTGTTGCAAACTCTTCGGGCGGCGTCGCGCGGCGCTAATTTGCGCCGGGCGAAGGGGGAGTGAGAAGGAGGCGGCGGGGCTTCTCAGAGGCCATCGCGCCTTCCGAGAAATTGTCTGTGCCTTCGGGTAAGTCTCAGAAGACTTCGCAGGAGGCTGGGGGGCTTCCGAGCCTTCCGAGAAGGCCCGCCCTTTCTCGCTGCCCCCCCCTCGGGCTTGCCGCCGAGCTGAGGCGAGAACCGTATTTTGAACGAGCCCCGTCCATCCTTGGCGCTGTTGCAATCGTTAGGGACGAATTCTCGGCGCAGAGGCGAAAACACTATTTCGAAAACGCCCCCTCCGCCCATCCCTAACAGAAACGGTTGCAAACAGCCACCACGAATGTACGCGGCGTTGAGGTGAGAGCCACGGTTTGAAAACGACCCTCATCTGTCGATGGCGCTGCTGCAGAAGTTTGAGACGAATGCGCGAAGCGCTGAGGCCAGAGCCACATGTTTGAAAGCGCCCCCCCCTCCATCCCCAAAGCTGTTGCAGCATTTTACCACGAATCTACACGACGCTGAAGCGAGAAGCCCATTTTGAAAACCGTCCCTTCCCTTGAAGCAGTGAAGCTGCTGCGAGCCTTTAGGACGACGACGACTGTGCGCGGCGCCAGGGCGAGAGCCACACTTTGAAAGCCATCCGTCCTCCACCCGTGAATCGGCTGCAGACTTTTGAGATGAAGGTGCGCGGCGCGAAGGCGTGAGATCCAGATCGAGAGCGGCCCGCCCTCCACCCCGCCAGCCCGCTGCAGCTTTCGGGCTTCGGGGCCACCAGCGGCGGGGAAGTCCAGGCGAGCCGCCCCGCCCGCTCTGGCGGACACGTCCCGGGGTGCGGCAGGCAGGAGCTGCTCACACAGACAGGGGACGGAGCAGGCGGAGGAGAGGAGAACGAAGAGGCGAATCGGGAGCCCTCCCCTGCAGTCGCGTCGTCCGGCCTCTCCGCCCTGATTCGCGTCGCCACTGGACCCCCCATCAACGACAGGGGGGGCGAAGAACATCGCCTGTCGCGCCTCGCAGCCAGGGGGCGGCGCGCGGGCGCGGAGAGAAGCGCGCCTCGAGCACCGCGGGGCGCGAAGCGCGAACTTGGGTGACCCCCACCCCCCTCAGGCCAGCCACAACTGGGGGAGCTGTGGTCCTTACCCCCCTGGGGGACCCATCGATTTCGACACCCCTCTCGAGAGATCGTCGAGGCGAGGGGTTCCCCCAGGGGGGTAAGGACCACAGCTCCCCCAGTTGTGGCTGGTCGGCCCCTCTGCTCCCCCCACTGCCCCCGCCACCGCCCTCCCCGTATGGCAGGTTCGCGTCGTGTCCACTGGCGGCGACCCCGCTTCCGGCGTTCCACGTGGAACGCCGCTGGCGACCCAGAATGGGTGGGCGTTGCACAATCTGACGCTTTTGCGAAAATAGCCAACCGTTCAAGTTTGAACGGGCCCCGCGGTGTCAGGAGCCAACGCTGGGATCGGCACGACGCGAACCTGCCGTAGGCACCTGAAGAAGTACCTGATACCGCCCCCGAGCCCGCCGAAGACCCCAGATCCATTCGACATCAACAACATCTACGCTCCGAGTATGAAGCTGCTGGACCTGCTGTGGGTACAGCTTGGCGCCCCGGCGTTGTTCGATCTCCTCGACCTGCTGTTCTGGACTAACCCAAGGCGGAGGAGGATGAGGAGGAGGAGGAGGAGGAATCGCTGCAAACTTAAGTCGAATGTTCGCGTCGCTACTGCCAAAACAGCATTTTGAGAAGGAGCCGCCCTCCGTCTATGAAACCATTGCATGCTTTTCGAACGAATGTGCGCGGCGTTCAGGGTTGAACTAAAGTTTGAACACGAGCCGACCTCCAGTCTTGAAAACGAATTTGCGCAGCGAGAAAGCGAGAGTCACATTTTGAAAACGATCCGCGCTTTCATCCATGCAACTGTTACAAACTTCTGAACCGAATGCGTGTGGCGCTCAAGCGATAGTTACGTTTTGAAACTGTTGAACTGTTGAAGCTTCAGGATCATAAGTGGTGAGGAGCGACCAGGCGAAACGCCTGGCCCGCCCTACTGATCCGTCTGGGGGTGCGACAGGGAGGAGTTATTTAGAAGGGAAAGGGATGGATGAGAAGAAGGAGGAGGAGGACGAGGAGCAGGAGGAGGAGGAAGACGAGAAGGAGGACGAGGAGGAGCAGGATGATGAGGAGAAGGAAGAGGAGGAGGACATGTTGTACCGACCTCAGGCGGTCAGCCCTGGTCTTGGTGTCCTGGAATATTATGGCGGCGTGGTTTCTCGGGCACTGGCCAGCCTTGATCTTGTTGCGCCTTGCCGCGTACATGCTGTCCTGCCGGTCTCAGAGGGTATGGTTCGACCCGGCTGAGGTCTACTCAATCGAGAACGTCAAGGCGGCGAAGAAGTGCCTGAACGTGCAAGCGGGGTCAACGGCAAACCACGCCGTCGTCCAACTGTGGGACTTTGGGACTTGGGAGGATGAAGAGGAGCGCAAGGAGCGGGAGGAGGAGGTCGACGACGACGACGACAATGACGAGGAGCACGGAGGAGGACGAGGAAGAAGAGCAGGAGAGGGAGGACAACCCGGACAGTGCCCACTCGCAGTGGCGGATCCGCAGACACGGGGAAGTGTTTGTCATGGAGAACGTGAACGCGGCCGGGAAGTACCTCAGCATCGCTGGTGGCGGCAAGGGCAACGGATTGTCAGGGCAGACCCCCCAAAGAAGAGAGAGGGTTCTGGACGTGGCTAGGACGAGGATAGATCCGTTCCAGAGCGTTCCGGAACGCGCTCTGAGAAGGCTGCGACGCCCGAGACATCCATCCTCCAGACCCGCCGGAGTTCAGAGACTCCCGATTCAGCCTCACCCGCGTGTATCCTCGTGCTGGCTTCGTCTTCTCGGTGGAGAATGGCGGAGGACGAGGAGGGGGAGGATCAGGATGAGATCGGCATCGTGCAAGCGGGGGTGGGCGAGGGGGAGCGGCCCCTGCGGAGACCCGCCCGCGCTTTCCGAGGAGCTCTTTAAGGAGCCTCCTCGGCACCCTGCTAGGACTCGGCCACGCGCAGAGGGGGGTGCAGGGAGGGGAGAAGGCTTCTTATAAGCACCCCTGCTTCTGAGAAGCCTTCCCCCCTCCCCCTATCCCCGTGTGCGCATCGCGTCGGCGGCGAGCCCGGGGGGGGAAGGTGAGAGGTGAGGAGGCTCAGAAGTCTCCCCGCCTTCCAGTAAGTTTTCGAAGCCTTCCCCGAAGACGCAGAACAATTCCTCTCAGGAGGCGCGAGGGCTTCTGAGATGTCTCGCAGCTTTCTGAGAAGGCCTTCGCCTTCGCACAGGTGGCGACCTAAACGGTGTCTTGGCGATTTCCTGGGCCGGTTTCGTTTTGATATAGTTTTGCTTTTGCGGCAAAAGCGGATCCAAGACAAGACGAGGGAAAACGAAAACAAAACGAACAAGAAAATCATTATTCAGGGCGATCCCTGCCTTCTCACTTCCCTTCCTCGCCCGCCGCCGAAAGAGAGAGAGAGAAAGTCCACCCGCCATGTCTCGGAAGGCTGCCCGCTTCCGCCCCCCCTGTTTTTTGCGCGCTGCAGGGGGCGGGGGGAGGCGGAGGGGGTGCGGCAGGGGTTTGGTGGGGAAGGTCTATTCTTGAGTCGGGCATGTCCCTCCACAGGAGGAATATTCAAGAATCGTAGCAAGTTCTTCTGGTGACGATCTTTCGTGCTCTTTTGACTACCTGTGCTTATTTGTTGGCTAATTATGATTTTTCTTCCAAGATCCGCCTCCAGGAGGCCATGCCGGACCTGAGTCTAGTCTCGGCGGCGGGCGGGGGGGGAGGTGAGAAGGCGAAGGCCGTCTGAGAAGGTGGCGTGCCTTCTCGGAGGCCCTCGCGCCCCCTGCGATGCTTTCTCTGCGCCTTCGGGGAAGGCCTCTCTCGGAAGGCCGGGGGCCTTCTGAGCCTTCCGAGAAAGCGTTTCCTTCTCACTTCCCCCCTTCGCTCGCCGACAGTAGGGGGCCACATGCGAACCCTACCCCCACCCCCCACGATTTCTGAGGGGGAGGGTGGGGTTCACTTCGTTCGGGAGCTCCCGAGCGAAGTGAACCCCACCCTCCCCCTCAGAAATCGTGGGGGGCTAGGGGTAGGGTTCGCATGTGGCCCCCTAGACAGTATTCTTGGATTGCTCGCATCCCTGAGCTGAGCCGGCCAGAGGTCCGACCACCGGCGACCGTGTGCTGGAGGGGAAATGCCCACACCACGACTAACTAGTGAAGGCATTCCCTGCAGCAGGGTGCTGCCCACCCAATGCCAGTTCCACCTGCCCCTGGCTGTGCGGACTTGCTGCCCTCAGGACTGAACGTCCGCCTCTCCAGCAACCCGAAGTCGGAGCGCTCACAGTGGCGCCTCGCCAAGAGGCCAGGTGGAGCCTATACTCTCGAGAGCGCGTACGCGCAGTCGAAGTACGTGAACGTCATTGGCGGCAGCGAGGACAACGGCGCCGGTGCTTGGGGACGCCAATCGTGCGCCAACGCCGATCGCGGGCCCAGGATGGGCCTGGCTAAGATCGGCGTAGCGGGTGCCAGTGGCGTCCTCACAGGCGTGGTCGTATGGGACAACCCGTACGCGACCGAGACGCAGTGGCGCGTGGTTAAGCAGAAGCCTGGCGCGGTGGACGCGGTGTCCACTGGGGCCTCTGAGCATCAGGCCCCTCGTCGTCGTCACTGTCGCCGTCTTCCTCCTCCCTCGACTTCCTCCCTTCCTCTCCTTAGTGCTCGCCCTTTGTTTTGACCTCTCGTCTTCTTGCTAGTCGTCTTTCTCGTGAGCATTCTGCCGTAGGGGCGTATGCTGATTATGTTGTCGTCGGAGGGACATGTGTCTTCGACGTGCCGACGTCCCCCCTTCCTGTGTTGCTTGTCGCCCAGCGCGCCGCTGGGCTCTGTAAGAGGCTTGGGCCCAGCCTCTGATACACAGGAATCCTGCCTGGGGCAAGGTCGTGCAGGAGCTCCAGCGTCGTGGAATCGATTTTGCCTGTTTCATCATGGTGGCTACTGGTAAATACATGGGTGCTTTCTCGACCCTGATGGCTTACCTTCTTCCTCGACTGGGCCTGGACTTAAGTTCGTGCGTCGGATTCAAGATATCCGTGGACTCTAGCTCGGACTCGCGACGGCGGTCGCTCGATATCATGGTTTTGCATCTGCTAGCTTGCAGTATGCTGCGCAGTCCTATGCCCCTCTGCGTCCCCCGCTCTTCTTGCACTGACTTCGAAGGTTTTCAGTGGCTCATGTAGGGCCGTCGCATGGCTCACCGTCGGATCCTCCTTTGTTCCCTCTCTTCCCGCCGCATTCGCGTCGGTGCCCCTTCAGCTAGACTTGGTGGGCGTGCCGCCGCCTGTCGCGCTGCTCTCTCGTTCTTGGCTTCTGCCTCTGCCCAAGCTCTCCTGGAGGCCTTTGGTGGCGCTGACGACTGTGTAGTACAGCGGGGGCCCATGCCAAGAAGCACCCTGCGTGCCTCCAGGGTGCCCTGGGTTTCTTTGGTTTCGATGGTTCTGCGATGGAACGCATGACGTTCCCACCCTAAACATCAATGGTCGTCCTGGGGTCTCAGGGTTGGGTTCCTTGTGGACGGGTTCTTGGGGACTGGCCTCCACTGTACTGTATCGTCGGCAGCCGTGATATAAGGCTTCGATGTATGCGAGGCTTGACAGTAGCCTTCGAGCCGCGTCTCAAACGCCCCATGCTCCCTGTTTTCGAGTTTGCTCGCTGCAGAAGGAGACGCCGCCTGGATTGAGAGGTATGGTTTCTCCTTGTACTCGTCCGACCTTCGCTGCTCGGATGCTGCACTGCCTCCCCGCCAGCCAGGGTGACTTGGACCGATTTCTGATGGCATGTCGTAGGGAGGCCTCGAACGTTACGGATGCTGTGATGACTTCTGCCCTTCGGACCTCCAAGCAAGCCTCGTGCACCTCTGGCCAGTTTGTGGGTCACACGAAGTCTTGCCTATTTTGCCACACTTCTTTAACCGATGATGCCCTCTTGCGCGCCCTCCTGCCTTGCCTCCTTCGATGCTAGAATTCTTGCCCGACCAGTTGACGTCTGTCTTCTGCTGGCTTGACATAGCCTGCAGTGTCTACCACTCGTTTAAAAGTGTCTAGGGCTCCCAGGGGATATCGGCTTCGCCTTGCCTTCCGAACTCGCCTCGTGCAGCAGTTTCTCACGCAGCGTTCCCTGGCGCCCTTCATTCATTGGCCATCGGCTGTTCACTGATCGGGTCCCTCTCCCGATCGTGTTCGCTGCGTCTGCTGGTCGTTTCCTTCGGGATGTGGGCTCTCGCTGGCCCGCGGCGGGATGGCGCACCCCACAGTGGTGCAAACATGCTTTCTCCGATAGCCGCACCCTGCATTTTCTCCTTCTGACCTCCTTCTCTGGCCGCTCCTTGTGCCAGTTGTAATGCCCTCCTCCTCCTCCTCCTCCTCCTCCTCCTCCTCCTCCTCCTCCTCCTCCTCCTCCTCCCCTCCCAGCCCCCTCCTCGTGGTCGCCCCGTCCACTTTTTTGTATTTGTTCCCGCCAACTTTCCTACTTCTTCCTTTCCTACGGTCGTCACGGCCCCCCCCTTCCCCCCGTGATATATACACTGAGTCCAAGTGCACGCAGTCATCCCTCATTCCTCTTCTTCCTTCCTCTCGCCCATCTCCTGCCTCGCTCCCTCAGTTTTCTTCTCCTCTTCCCCCCCCCTTCCGTCCTCCCTCCTCTCCCCCTCCTTCATCCGTCCCCCCTCCTCCCGCCCTTTTCCCTTCCCTTTTGCTGCCTTCCCCCTCCCGGCCCCCTTCTCTTCAGCCTCCCCGTCCTTCCCCCTTCTCCTTTCTCCTCATTCCTCCCTCCTCGTGCCATTGCACTCATGTCCCTGTCTCGCTGCTTTCTGCGACAGCTGTTTGTATGTTGTGTGTCAAGCCGAGTCCCTGAAAGAGCAGACAGTGCTCAAATCTGCCGAATCGTGTCAGAATAGTATGTTCAGCATCAGCGTGGTCTTCACAAGAAGAAGCGTGATCAGCGGTATCTCCGCGCTTGTCCTCGGCCCTCACCCTTCTCCTGCCGTCTCCCTCCCTCCCTCGTCCTCCGCCTTCTCCTTCTTCTCGTGGTCTTCGTTCTCATCCTCCTCCTCGCCCTCCTCATCCTCGTCCTCCTCTTCCCTGTCCATCTTTCGCTCGTCGTCCGCACCCCCCTCCCCGCCCTCCGCCGCTGTCTCTTCGCCGCCCTCCTCCTCGTTCCCCATCCTCGCTTTTGCCGTCCCTCTCCGTCTCGCCGGGGGGCCCGCGTCGGGCCGCCGCCCCACCATAGCTTTCGGACCAGTGGCCTTCGAACCATCACCGAACCGAAAGCCAATGGAGTCGTCGTCGCCGTCGCCGTCGCCGTCACCGCCGTCGCCGTCGCCGTCACCGCCGTCGCCGTCGCCGTCGCCGTCGCCGTCGCCGTCGCCGTCGCCGTCGTCGTCGTCGCCGTCGTCGTCGCCGTCGTCGTCGTCGTCGTCGTCGTCGTCATCGTCGTCGTCGAGCGGCAGGCCTCTGGGCGGGCCCTGGGGCTGCTGCGAAAGCCCACGCAGCCGAAGCTGGACAGGAAGGCGGCCAGCGGCGACCTGGCGGACAAGAAGACGGAGGAGCGCTGCGGCGCTCCGGCGTGCCCACGGGGGGCCCTCGTGCGCCGCTGCCCTGTTCCTGCCTTTCGTCCTCGCACGTCCGCGGGGGGAATTCATACATGACCACCGCCTGGAGGACCGATGCCTGGAGACATCGAGAGGCGGTGGATGTGGATACGTTCGGGCCCCCGGGTTTCCAAACATGTCCATAACATAACCACCGCCCGCTGGGTCCCCAGGAAGTCGGTTCCCGGGCGGTGGGTATGGACATGTCCCCGCCTCGCACCACAAGTCTCTCTATCTCACTCTTGCTCTCCAGCATCTGTGCCCTGCTCCTGCTCAACCTCCCTCCGCCCCCTCTTGGCTCTACAAGCGTTCCGCCTCGTCCGCCTGCAGGGCCCCTCACAGGTCAGAGGAGAACGCATGCCCAGACGTCCCTCCGTCACCTGCTGGGGCCGCTCCTCCTCCTCTCGCTCCTCTCTGTTCTCACTCGCATGTGCACCGCACGGTCGTGGGTAGTCTTGCAGTGGTTACGGTCCGTACGCCGTATGCACGGCCTTTCGAACACAGGGGCAGGGCGGGCAGCATCATGCCCTGACCTTGAAGCGGCTCCACCCTAGCCGATCGTTCTCTTTGCAGGGGCACGGTATCCGCAGTGGCTTGTGGCGCGCGCCTCGGAAGACGTTGTGGTATTCAGAGTTTCTTGGTATGCAGCAGTGCGTTCAGTTGGGATGGCAACTGATATTTACCTGGGATGTTCGATCTGCAATTTCGTTCCGTCATCTTTCTTCTTGCTCTCGTGGTTGTTTGCGTTTTCTCTTCAGGTTGGGAGCTCTTCATGTACACTAGCCGTCACAAGTAGCATATCGTGTTCAAAGAAGCTGGACGCGCATTGAATTTCGCCCATATATCATCACTCCTGTGCTGATGCGTGCTAGGCATCGTTGCCCAAGATGTGTCGGACACGTTGGGGTCAATGCGAATGTATTTGTGTAGTGGATGGGTTGTCCCGGGGACGTTCCACTTTCCCCACCCGCGATGCCTCTGCCAGCGAAGCTGGACATATTGACTGGCAAGGTGCGTCTAGACGACTCGGGGATACAATGGCTGACGATTTGCTTGTTGGAGAGTCAAATGGTTCATCATGCACGTGCTCCTTCTCGGGTCTAGGAACCGATGTGACCGACAATTGTTAACATTTTACTGGGGTGGCGCAGGCTCGTTGTCCTCCTCCTTCCGACGCGTTGCGTGGGGTGATCTACATGGTTTTACGGCCATCGCCTCATCAATCTACCCCGGCGAGGGCAGTAAGACAGCGTGGGGCCGATGAAGGCAGCATCTGAGCAAAGCGAACAATATCACAGCGAATGTACCGCCATATTGCACCAATCGAGCAGCAAGTCTAGGATAATGTATCGTTGTGCCGTTGGCATATGTTTCCACAGCGCCCCCTGAGAAGCGACAGAAGGTTTCTAGAACATCAGTCCATCGCAATGTGGCGGCCATCTTTGAACGTGGCTGGATCTGGTGCAGGTTGGAAGTGACGGGCATCTGGGAGTGATAGTTCTGAGCTGTTTATTGCCAACCCGCTGAGCCGACAGAGGAGCTTGATGTGGGTTCGTGGCAAGGCCCGTTGCAGTGCGCAGGATTGCTTTGCGTCTCCAAAAACTGAGCCTGCAGCAGGCGGTTTTTCCACGACCGCTTGGCGCGAAATACCCATGACCGCAGCGAAGATAGCTCGTAGCCTTAATTCGGGCCTATCCCTCCACAGGAGGATCATTCAAAAATAGTAACAATTCTCAGGGGGGCGTGTTTTTCCTGCTATTTTGCGCTATTTTTTCTTGTTTGAAATGCTTTGTATTTTTGGTTCAAAATCCGCCTGTAGGGGGACACGCTTGAATTAATCGTAGACCCTTCCGTCAACGAGTCTGCCCTCGATCGCAAGAGCTCGCCAGTTCATGGACTCTCTGGCAGTCAGTTTCAACGCGTCTGCTGGCTTCGCACCGCAGGGCGACCTCCCTGCAGAACTCCCGAACCTCGCTGGCATTTCCGCTCTACGGCAGGGGTCGACCTAAAGGGTGCTTTGGCGATTTCGCGAACCATTTTTGGCTTGATCGTGTTTTGCAACAAAGGCGAAACGACAACAAAACGAGGGACAACGAACACACACCGAAAACGAAACACACTGTTTTGGTCGAGCCCTGGTCCATTGGTTGTGCTGCCGTTCTTTCATGCACGAGGTCCCACGTGTGCGGGAGGCGTTCCAGAACGTTGTGGGGAAGACGCCGTGGTTTAAGGCGATGCCTGTCAAGGCGCCAGCACTGGCACTGCTCGGATTCTCGCCGTGTGCGTCCAGGTGTTTGTCACACCATGTGTGGAATGGCCAGACGCATAAACACCCTGCTTGCTTCCAGGGTGCCCTGGGTTTCTTAGGTGTGAATGTTTTTGCTGTGGAAAGCGTGACGCTCCCACACCAAAAATCCAAGGGGCGTCCTTGGATCTCAGGGTGGGGTTTCTTGTGTAATGTTTCTTGTGGTCGAGCTCCTCCTGCCTTGGACATCCGCGAAGTGACGCTTGCTCGTGTGATGATGCTGTCTTCGATGGGATGCCGAAGCCTGAAGTCATTTTTTTTACTTTACCTCAGGCTGTGCCTTCGCAGTGTTCGGGGTGCTCCCAGTTGGTTGGGAAGCCCGCTCGAGAGTGAAGCCGTCGGCGGATGATACCATGCGGCAGTTTGACGAGGCTGTTCTGTAATGCGTGTGATCAAACCTTTGGCAGAACATCTGCTTACCGATGGGTTGTCATACTTTTCAGCACAGCTTCAGGGATAGAGCCAGCTTCG